CAGGCTTGTCCGCCGGCGACTTCACTGGCGTGGCAGGGCTTGGTGCTTCGATATTACTCTCATCATTTTCCGACATACTGGTGATACCTTCCTTGGTGTCATCGTCGTCAGCGGAGCCATGCGCGTGGCTCTGGTGGTACTTGAGTCCGTTAATGTGTTTGTACTTTTTACTGCAGTTCGGCTCGGGACATTCGAGCAATACTGGACTAGCAGGTGGTGAACCGCTGGGTGGCGTCGGTGGCGGCGCCCGTCGCTTGTTCTTGTCCTGCTCCTCCTCGGGTCCGCGCGACTTCCGCTTCGCCGCCGGATCCGGTCGTGGCGGCACAAATGCCGCTGGGCTTGGACTAGCCGCAGGTGAACCCTGTGCACCCCGGCGACCCTTGCCGCCGTTGCGCAGTTTACTGTGCACGGAACTCCTCGTCTCCGTGAAGTTGCTCAGGTCGTTGCCAGGCGTGGAGTTGGCCGCGGCGCGGCCGCGCTTACCGCGGCCCTTAGGCGTGCGGGCATCCAGGTCGCTAGTTGGCGAGTCACAGAAACGTGGTGGCGCCCAGTCATGACGCGTGCAGTCCAGCAACGTCCCGACGTACGTCTTACCCCTCCACGTAACATTTACCACTAGTACACCTGCGACAGAGAGAAAATATCTTGATCATAATGATCGGTAGAAGCGATTCCTTCAAGCCTCATAACCGTCTTATAATCTTTTATACCAAGTTTGACCTGCCTGAATGTTTACTAAAATCTCATTAAAAAATCCCTAAAAATTCCAAATATTTTTGTTCAAAATTCCAAGTACGATTAGAGAATTTTTGAATTCTGATTGAATTATGCTTTTAGATCTAGAGGAATAGTCCTATCTCAACAAAGAAAACTTTCAACGGTTGCAAAATCAACGTTCTGCTGAAGGCGGTCATTTATCAGTAATTTCTGATTAAACAAAAACTTATGCATGTCACAACTTGGCGTAACGCTCAAAGCAATTCGGTTTCGAGTAAGAGAAATAAATGAAGAAAAAAGAAGGCGACGAGAATCTCGTGTTGGACAAAGAAATACGACTGTGTATATCGTTTTGCTGACGGAACAACGCGTAAAGCTACGGCGAAGGAAAAACCGGTCCTAAAATACGGCGGCTTTAACCCCCGGGGGCCCCTCGAGCAGTTTCATCGCGTAATAAGTTTCGTGGCAACCTGCAGACGAGCTAACTCGCGTCTGTTTCCTTCTTTTCCTCCTCACGGCTCTTCGTTCTTGCGCGATCAGCGCTGCTAATTGAAAATATCTCGCCTGTGCACGTGCAAGAAAACGCGACGTTTCGCAGGTGATCTCGACGATGATGCTGCAGGTGTTCTCGGCCGCGGAACTCCCGTGTTCCATACAAAGTGCGCGGCTAAATTACTTTCGCGTTCGCGTAATAGGGAGAGTCGGCGTAAATCGAATCGGCACCGCGGGACGCCGCACCAGATTCAAATGTCAAAGCTTCGGGGAACGAACGACGTGATCTTCGAGTGAGCGAAAGGGATAGTTTTACATTAACGTTGTTCTTGGGTTGCGTTTCCATTTGACGCTTGCTTTCAGAATTTCATTCTTGTTGTTTATCAAGTGTTAGTTGTGAACGCCAAGTAGAATGTTGCTTCGCGTAGTGAAAGTATTAATTATAAAGCTAAAAAAAGAAAGAAGAAAGGTCGCTCTTTTAAAATAATGAGACTGTTATGGGGATGCTGGAATCATCTGTAATACCGACGAAACGCGCATTTCGTACTTTTTCTTTGTTTTTTTATACAAAATAAAAAATCTTTCTCTAAAATAAAAGAAAAAAGCTGTGGGAAAACAAATAGCTGTGGGAAACTACAAACCTGTGTAAAAAACAAAAAAAAAGGTAAATTAGAGTTCATGTTATCACGTAGGACATCTTTTCACATGATATAAATAATAATTCCAAAGTATCTATTCAAACAAAAAGTAGTTTCCCACATTTAAATAATGTATAAGAATATAATGAGACCTTCAAATTGTAATTTTGAAGCTTGTGTAGTGAAATAAATTAAAGAAGTAAATATGAATGTACATTATTTTGTATTCATGCGATATACAGGATACAACAGAGCAAGAAATGTATGTAAAATTTTATTTAATGTTTTACTTGGTATACATTATGTTTTACTTTGGAATAAAAAATCTGTTTTGTCAACGTTGATTAAACTCGACCGTCGCTCCAGCATCTCCTAAACATTGTTCTTGAAACGTTGTCCAATGCTTCGCATTGTGAAAATATTAATTATAAAGTTAAAAAAAAGAAACCTAAGAGAGATCGCTCTTTTTAAACCGTGAAATTTGAGAGAAAAGATATTTTAAATGCGTAATATCAGCCGGAGATGGAGCTGAGTCCATAGACAAGAAAGAATTCTTTATTTTCATCGCTGGGATTAACTCTTTCTTTAGAAGGTGATTCTCTCCCCGATGGGATACCGTTTAAAAATAGATACCTCCGGAATGAAAACGTCCGTGGAAGATCGCCGAAACGAGGCTCGTCGTTTGCATCTGTGGGCTGGCTCCCTCTTCGCGAACTCTGATCATGAATCGAGAACCGAAAATAAAGGAACGAGCCGCGTTCGGGGGGAAAAATAGAGGCGTGCATAAAGAGAACAATAAAAACAGCGGAAGTTCCAAGACGACCGTAGTTCCTAAAAGCCACATGACACCGTGTTTCTCCTCCATCTGTCAGACACACGTCTCGCTCTTTTTCTCTCCTGTCTCGAGGGCGAGACGAGATGTCTCGTTGCTCCTTTCTTCACCCCGCGACGTGCTTCTCATTTCGCTCTGTTCCTCTTTTCCCTTCTTTCTCGCCACGCGGCAGAAACCTCGGGGCATTTTGGTTGATTGAGTCGTCCCCTCGCGCATCGACGTCATTCCCATTTGCTGCGGAAGATAAACGTATGGGCGAGCACCAGGGGATGATGATAAATCCGTGCATTTCACCCCCGTTATGCGCCTTTTCATCCCATCTACTTCCAAGCCTCGTTTCCCCTCAGACTAACGTTACTTCCTTTTATTTTTCTTCTGTCATGTGTACTTCTATGCGAACCCAGACAATGGTCGAATGAGGGATAAATGACCAAATTACCCTCTAATAATTTGAAGAGACATTCGATTTCACGTCAATATACATTTCACTTTTAATAAGTAATTACTTTTAATGAGTTTGGAACAAAACTATTACATAAAAAAATTAGTAAAAAAAAGAAATATATATATATTATACATGCTCGTATTATGCAACGCGATATAGTAAAGTAAATAGCCAAAGAAATAAACAAGTATAGATATGACAAAAAATAGTTTATTATAAATAAAAAAAAAGAACGTGTTTCAAACACACGAAATCTTTTTTTTTTCAGTAATAATTAGAGCAAAAATAAATTAATGATATAAATATAATTAAGAATATATTGTATTATATATATATATATATTTTTTTTTTAATTTGAAGATTGAATGAAATTGATTGAAGATTGGATGAAAATATAATAATAGAAAAAGGTTATTAAAAGGCTACATTAAATGGCACATAAGTAACGTAATAAATAAATATATATGTGTGATATAAAAAATAAAATCAAATAAATCTTTGAAAGTCAAAAAAGTAAAATATAATCATGTCGTGCTTCATTTTCTTAAATTTTCCAGATTTTTTATTCAAAATTCTAGGTAAGATTAGAGACTCTTTCAATACAAATTCTTCTTTTGAAATAAATTGGAGTGTAAGAAACTTTCAAATAAAAAATATAAAGGAAATTTATGAAACACAGGAATTAGTAGAATGCGAGACTATACATCATTTTCTATAATTAGAGCGAAATTTACAGGATAGTTTAGGGAGAAGACTTACTACAAAATAGTATCAGTAAACTACTGTATTATTTTCTACTGTCATCCTGATTTAAAAAAAAAATATGCGTGGCGAAAATGTACGTGAACATGCGCAGATGTGCGTACTGTACTTATTGCTAACTAATTGTAAACATTTTGCATTATCAAAGAAAAAAGATCAAAAACTAATATTTTCAGAAATACAGAATTTAAATTTAAAAGTAAAATTCCAAAAATTCTTCATGTCCGATAAATTTCCATCCCTGATTTTTAAGGATAAAAAAAATTCTCCAAAAATTCTAGATTTTTGCAGCATCTATAATTAATAGTTTTGCTGCATCTATACTTGCTCATTCTTTTGGTTTTACTATAAGAAAAAGCAAAATAGAAAAAATTATTAAAATATGAATAAAAATTAAAACTGACCGCCTGATGTGTTTTCGTCTTTCGTGATATTTTCTCACAATGTAGTCTCTTATGATGCTGTCTAACATAATAATAGCTATTAAACGAGTTCATCTTTAAGTTTCACATTTGGCCTCGCGGTCGACTATTCCTAGAGTTAATAGAATTTCCCGCGACACAGTAAACGAATAATCGCACGGTTCGCCCCGAAGAGATTGCGATCGCGGCAGCTGCTCGCAAAGTCACATCCAAGCATTATTATTTGTCCGTTGCTCGTTTGCTGCAAAGAGACGCAGGCGTCACCGTCGCCGACTTGGGTTTTCTCTTCCTGAAAGTCGGTGGACGATAAAGGAGCTCTTTTCCGAAACGGGAGATTTGCGGTCGAAGGAAACACGGAGGGAAGAAGAACCGCACGAGGATGAGGAAGAAAAAAAGCCTTCGTAGCCACGCCATAAAACGAGTTAATCTCTTCTCTGGCGATATCATTGCAATTGCGATATCTCGATGCTGAGGAGAGCTCTCTTGGCGTCATAACAGCTGTCACGTGAAATCACGTCCGGCGTTAGCCGTCCTCCGAATGACAACAATCGCGATCGTTGCTAAAACGAGAGATTGGCTTTCGGTACAGCGCGGATTTTTCCTCCTACCAAAAACTCATCATACGGAAGTCTCTTCCGGTACTCGAGAGAGGCAGGTGTCTCGTTCATCAATGTACCGAGGGAAGCATTAAACTTTCAGGGAGATCGTGCACATTTCACGTCAAATCCGATTTTGACGGATTAGCATTTTAGCGGAGAAAAATCGTTGTTAAGCGCTGCTTGACAAACGCAAATAAATAAAGGAAACGTCAGAATGGTTTTTCGACATGTTGTTTACAGCATCTGCTCACCGTCTAATCGCCGGAAACACGATAATTTTTAGTGTACCAATCATTTTATTAGATGAATATTTTAACAATACGTAATAACAAGGCTACGGAACCAAGCCGGTAGTTGATATTTAGTATCAACTAAGTTGTTGATACTTAGTACAGTGTATTTACAATATTAAAATAAAAATAATAAAGTTGACATTTATTATTAAAAATGATAAGACATTTCGACCTTTTCGCATCAGGCCATCTTCAGTGTAATTCATCAAATAAATTAGTATTACGCAAACATTTAACAATGTGTTCCAATGTCCGCCTTATCAATAGTACATTCTATAGACGCAACGTATTCGTATAATGATGTTGATGAATCTTCGATAGTGCGACTCCATGTTCAGTACCATTCATATGTATAAAAAGATTCTCATATATATGGTATAATTTATAACTCCCTTTTTTTGTTAATTGTTGTATAATCGGCAGA